AAAACAATTTTTAGCGGGTACAAAATAAAGTTCAATTACACACATTATGCTTGATGTTTCCGATCCTGTAGAATCCTTGGTTGCAAAAAGGTGTTTTATCAAATTATGCTAAGCGTTGTAGTTTTGTGAATGCTTTGATAACGGCGGGGCTTTCGGCTCAACCGCGACAGGGGCTGGCGAAGGCATTAAAACAAAGGCATCGAGACGTAAACGAGGTAATGGAAAATTCATCACGCATGAAGAGTCGTTAAATAAATTTAATGTTATTTAAAGGCACATACTATCTTTTTTTAATTTTATCGCAAAGAAAGAGACAGGACCAAATTTAATTACACTTTAGACTTTTACGTTTCTGTGTGTGACCGTAAGTTTTTTTATGAAGATCGAACCAAGACGCTTTCGGGGTTGATAATTTTAAGTGGTAAATCTTTCTGATCTGTCAGCATCTGTTAGCGGTGGAGAGGGAGTGTGGAAAATCCATATAAAAAATACTATTCGCTAACGGGCGCGACCATTTGTTTACTTAAGATTATCATCCGCTAGAATGACTATCAGTATTCAATACTTAGAAACTAACTGAGATAAAGTCCAGTTACAGTCTAAATTGAAAGAACACACCACATAGCTTATCTTGAAATAAAGTTAAAAAAACACTTGACAATTCATTATACGGCTGTCAAAGCGTCATAAACCGTTAAAACAGCGGAGTTCACGGCAAAGTGTTTACCCAGTGCGCAGGCAGAGAGAGTTATGTCCGCAAATAACGCACTGAAAGAAAGTTCCTTGTTTGGCTTCGACGGAAGAGCTACACAAATAACCCGTTTAGCATTATGAAAATAGAATAGATGGAACAAAAACATCGGGGTCCGAGTGTTGAAACTCGAAAGGTCATTCTCTTCAGTGAGAGTCATTAACTAAGCTCCTAATTAAAACAACGGGGTGTAAATAAATAAGGAGGGCACACCTCCAGGGACGTGAGTGAGACCCAAAACTGACACTTTATTCGGTTGTTCCGGTTATTTTTTTATAAGATAATATCACATGAGTAAAGAAGGAAGGTACAGTGGCAAAGCTCCATGAATTGCACATGTGTGAGTGAGCACTGTCTAATTAACTATTGATATAGCTTATGATTTCATTTTGTTATATCTAACCGCTGAAGGTTTTCATAGACCTCGCGCCCATTTTCTTTAATATTAATATTACCAATGCATTCGAAAACCTTCAGCGGTCAGATATAACAAAATGAAATCATAAGCTATAGCAATTGCCAAAGAAAACCCAATAAGGTACGCGACAGGGCCGCCAGTGCTCACACGAACACGCGCAATTGTATGAAGCTTTGTTTCTCATATCTTTACTCATTAGATAGTATAGCTTGAAATTTCGCCTTTGATGTGTGTAACGGACGAAGGATGAATACTTAACGACGTAGCTGATAGCTCGGCAGTTTTGTGCTGTGCATTTAGGGCCTCCAACGTCACTAACGATGACGAAAGCCTATCGGATAAACAATAACAGTTTTCCTCGGTATCATAAATTTCAAGGATATCATTGAAAAGTTATTATAGTTTAAAAATTAAAAATACTGATCAGGAGACATATATTTAGATAGTATGTTTAATTGAATTACAAGATTGGATGCTTCTATTTTAAAAGAATATAATGAAAACACAACTGAACTGCCAAAAAAGGCGTAAACGTTAAAAAGTATACTATTCTATAGTTAGCAGATTCAAAGAAGGAAATATATAATTTCTTTTTATATATTTTTTTATTGTATTAATGTTATCATAAATCACTACAAAACCGCAGTTTTTGCTTAGAACGAAAACGGTGTAGTAATGTTATATGAAATCTCGTTCCTGCACCGTTTTTTATTGGAACGAAGTTCCTTTACGGACGCTATGGCGATTTTGGGCTGGGCAAACCGTCACAACCTAGGGAGGCAGGATAACTGGCTTGGCAGCTGCGCGGGTAGCTAGATGGGCAGTGGGATGGACGACCACTGACGGCGGTGGTTGTGGACTTGGTTTAAAGTTATGTTTGGGGAGTGATGGACTAGGACAAACCGCATTGGGCCCGTTCGATCCGCAGTGCGGAACTTGAGTTTTATTTTGAGTAGGTATACTTTATCGCAATAGATAGATTAGTAGTTAAGAGAAAATTAATTCACTCGTAATAACTCACTTTGCGCTCGATGCAACAATCAACTATTGTTTTATTTCATACCGAGATTTTTATTTATATCATTTTATGATGGGTCACAGCAGTACATGAGGATATGAAAAAAAACAGTAAAATCTTCACATAACTGGCTCTACATAAAACATACAATCAATTGACAACTCCTGCAAAAGTGATATTAAACGATATAACTAATATTGTTTAATGTTTTATATAAAAAAGACCTTTGTGTCCAAAACTTTCAGAATTAACTACATAAAATGTAATAAGTAATAATGGGCATCATCAATAATGAAAACTTTAAAAATGAATTACATCTTACTTTAAGTAAAGTTAGTTAGGATACTTTCCCAGTAGCGCACTTTCCTAATACTACAGTTAAGTATAGACTTATTTGTGTAAAGCAAAGATATTTATTTACCGAAATGTAAAGCAAAGATTTTTATCTGTCTTTTTAGATCATTAAAGTTTAATTCAAATCTTTTATTTTTATTTTTGGTAACTTGCTGCTAACTGTACCATTAAATCAAATATAATACCGATTTCGAACCATATAAAAAGAAACTTTGAGTAATAGAGAAATTCTTTGATTTATTTCATTCGATGTAATTCGATAGTGTTATTCTCTCTAGAGCTAATCACATACAATGTGTTAAGCGAATCTTCTTCCGTGTTACATAATAAACTTGTACAGAAAGATTTGCTCTATCAAATACGAAAGCGTGATGTTTTTTTTTAATATGTACCGAACTTTGGGATAATCACGTATTGAGATTATCATAAAGTTCAAATTATTTAGTTAAAGTATCTAATTCGGGAATTTGTCAGTTCGGTTTACTTGATGTGCTGTTGCAGTTCACACTGAGACGCGACGCGTAGCGAAGATACCGGAAGAGGCCAGTGAATTCGCACTGCGACGCGTGCCGTCACATCGCGAGGCGCATCGTAAAAGCGTTGGCAGCACGACGCCTCGCTGCCTGCGGAACGACGCCACGTGACGCAGTGGAACGAGTCTGTCTACATTCGCCGCGTACACCCGCGATGCAGTGTTCTTATTCCTCTTTCCCTTCTGCATGAAATACAATTATAACAAGATTATTATTATTAATTTTCACTCGAGCACTCGACAGAGCTGCAACATTTCTACACGAAGTCTGCACGGAAATAGTAGAGACAAGTTGCCACAGCGGCCTCAGGCTGCGCCTCGCGGCGTCGCGCGACTTCGCGAGGCGTAATGCCGCTCTTACGAGCACGCACAAGCCGTGCGTACCGGCGATGCACGATGTCGCGATGTATCACTTTACGTAGCGAGGTATTTTCGTGGAGTAAATAAAATATTTTGAGTCCCACTATTATAATGTGTACACAGCATCGCGTTGAGTCGTATCTCGGTGTGTACTGACCCTTAGCAACACGGTATGTTGGAATTTTGATGTTTACAATTCTGTTTGACAGGCAATGCAACGATGTCATTCCTACATCTGCTACATGCCGAACATAGCCCAGATATTTACAGAATGAGGTATCATGTCATGCATGTTACTTCTTCGAGCTAAGAACGCTATTTATATGTAAGCTTCAGTTGCTTTATTCGTCAAATTGTGATGCCTGGTTGCACCTTAGAAATATTTTCAGTCCAATTGAACCATTAAGTACAGTACAATAAATATAAAAACTTGTCATGACTTCAAATCAGCAAGTTTTTGGTAAGGTTAAGTAAATTAATATTCAGTTCTGTATTGATTCCTGATGTTTCAGCTTTAAGTATAAAACTACTGAAACGGGAAGTAATTTCATAATAATCCAAAAGTCATCGCGATCTCGGTAGTTGCATTTATTTGTTCCTAAATTATGCTTGTTTTATACGTACTTAGTACATAAATACGCTGTTCAGTTCCCATAGTATAATTTTAATGGTTGGCTTAGTTTGGGACCTAAATATTTGTCGTGATTCGTCCTAAATTCTATGACATTTTTATTTTTGATAACTTTCTGTTTGATAAATTTGTGTTCTGATTTCATCATACGAAAGTCACTTTTAATTCGTAAAAAATTAAAAACGCTACTTAACTACCTAAAAACTGTACAAAGCCCGCAAATATTGTATTAAGGATGTAATTTATCTTAGATTGTTGTTATGGATAATGGCTTCTTAAAATACGAAGAAACGTATTCAATTTGCAACTGTATTGAACCATTTGCCATTGAAAAGGATTAAATTAAACGTCTCTTTAAAATATATCGCTCGGCTCTTTGACACCTAATCTCCCCTAGAAAGATAAAATCTCTATTTGACTAGATGCGGAATATAAATAAGTACTTTATTTAAATATTATTTGGAAATGATTCTGTATCATTTGAAATACAATTATTTATTTGTCCATTTAAAATTAAAGTATCAAAAGTACTTTCCCGAAAGTTTGTCTTTTATAAACTTTCATAGAGCTAAGTCACAATGCCAAAACTTATAAAATACAGTTTCTACTTCTTCTTCATGTTTTAAACCACCAACATTTTTCTAGAATATAGTAGATATCATATAAGGGTTTCTTAAAACCCTTTTACATCTTAAAGCTTATGTTTAATTATAGGTAAATCTTCACATATAACGTCAGCAGCTGTTCAAACTACATGCATGCAACGTCGAGTGCTCGCTCAATGTGCATGTCTAACGCATTAGCGAGCGACTTTAAACTAATCAAGAGTACCGTTACGCGTGTATGTTGTATGTAATTTATTAGCGTTTATCCTCATACAGCAATCTGTACGGATACCGTCTATTACGCAGACTCCGAGATCCCTGTTTCAGTTTGCTTCGGGAGAGGGGTCCGTGCACACGCTCCCGGTCGCTCCCAGCCGCAGCGGCACCGCCGGCCGATTCTGTGTTGGAAGTTCACGAGTTTAAGTTTCGAACCTGAGCCAAGGATTTCAACTGTGCTTTGGATACATATGGACAAATAGCCACATCTGAAACGACACTTTGAGCAATTTCGAATGGTGAGTTTCGAATTTCGAACCGACTTTCAAATTCATGAAGAATGTTTAAATTAACAAAAGAAAAAAAAAAACGAGAAAAAGAGGGTTTTGTATACAACGTCTTGAAATTTTACGGTTTTAAAAGCTTACCTGCCTTGGAGTAGTAATGGAGCCTACCCAACTTATCTAACTTCCAAAACTTTTCGTCGAAGTTCGCGGCCAATACCCGATTTCCTTTACGGGTTGATTGAGAAATTTAAACTTTTAAAAGATTTAATAAGCGAGCTTCAGTTCGTAACTCAATTTGTAAATGGTTATACAAAATGTTTCTGTTGGTTTAATCCAAAACAGATAATTCAATTAGAACTTTTGAATTTATGAAATAAGGTATTCTATCCCAACTTTAATTCTTCTTTGATGATAAAATTTTCTAAATGCCTATTCAGATTACAACCTCTTATTTGGAAACAAACATACCTATAAGTGACATAAAATATTTTTTAGTGTTACTAAAAACAATTTTAATTTGAAGAAACATCAAACAAACGGTACAGAACAACATTACCATATCACACATATAAACGATTTAGGTCACACACACCAGACAAGAATCATAAACTCACTCCTTGGATTAGTTAGGGCTATGAAACACGTTCAACAAAATCTATTTTCTGCTCTCTTGTAATCCTTTATGTGAGATGTACGTTGTAATTGGAACGTATGTCCAAATGGTAAAGTTCAGAATCCAGTGGGTAGGTAAAGGTAGCCGAAATGACAAGCTTTGACACTCAACACTCGTCAACGCCCGCATCACGAAAGTGACGGATAAGGAGCATTTGCTGGCACCAAAATGGAATACACACCGCTCGCGCCCTGAAAAACGTGATTTTATCTCTCATTAATCTCCTTTAATTAGTTCGCGGAAAGAAACAGAATTAAATGAAAATAGACGATACCACATTGCTAACGTAAATTTGTTGCATTTCCAAAAATTATTATGGTAAATGTGTGTAACTTTAGTAATCTTATTTATTACGGACTTTCAGTTGAATTGTTAACATGCATTTTAATGTGATGACATGTTTGCATTAAGAAAGGGTGATTGAATGTAATGTTTTGCTCGATTACATTCCGCAATTAAATTCCATAATTGAAAGCAGCAGTGATCATCTTGAGAATTAAAATAACGAACATATTATTTACGTAAAAAAAGTTTCCAGGTGTTGCAAAAAGCGTCGCGAGATTTATATTTTAACTAGCGGCCGCGCGCGACATCGTCTGTGTTAAATTATGTTTTTTTTTTTTAATTTCTCCGGTGCTTAACACGTTTTCTGGGATGAAACGTATCCTATGTAACTTTCGAGGTTGTTAGTTCTCTGTGTGTAAAATGTCATCCAAATCCATTCAGCCCTTTTTTGCGATTGAGTAACAAACATACAAACTTAAATTTTTATGATATTAGTAGAATAGATAGTAGTATAGACAGATAATATTAGTAAAATCAGATAGAATATGAAGTAAAAAATATATTATTAAATTGACCTATGCTACCTTGTCTCAAAATAAGTACATATATCTAAAACTTAAAGGTGGTCTTAAAATCTGAAATAACGAATAAAAAAGATGTTCATTTAAATGCCCTGGCCGCCGATTTAAAATAAAACTTAATAATTTATAGACTTTGCTGGCGACTTCTGCGTATATATTAAAAAAAACCACTGGGGAATCTTTAAGAAAAGGGATGTTTTTTATAAAATCTACACATGGACCAACACGTCCCGTATTAACAGGAAACACACACTTTCCGGGACATAAGGTATTCGATGCTATTGTGGCGTCGAATACAAGTATTTTGCTGTTAAATAGCATACAAATCCATTCAGCCGTTAAGCTTGTTAAAAAATATACGGTGTGTGCACTCCGGGAGTGCCGACAAAAGTAAAAACTCAGATTTCATTAAGAAAGAAAAAACTCAAAAATATACCCAAACCACTTAAAAAAGATTTCAATTCAAAAAAAAAAATAAGCAAAATGAAAAAAAGAATACTGAAAAAGAACTACATGCCTGTCGGGTTGGAACTGAATAATACCTCTTGCACTTGAAGGAGCGTTTGTTGCATTAGACCACTGTGGTGCCTAACCGGTAGCCCGCGATCAATTTAGGTGTAATAAATTATATAAACAATAAGTAATATGAAATATATATTATGTTTTTTTATTAAGTTGGTGGTGCCCGCGTAACGTATCAGGATTCTCAAAATAGCCCTTGGAGCAATACCACTTGGGCACCACTGCATTAGACCATGTCACTGCTTCAACGCAACGTTGGGCAAACTTAAAATACCTACACATACTAACGTTAAATACAGTGGTGTGTCGGTTATGGTGTCGTCTGTTGTTATGATCTCGAGTTTTAATGGTGTTTTTGCCATTTCGAATATGCCCAACTCGCCTAAAGAAGTTTTCACTTGAAAAACATTCACAGCCTGCCTTAATTTTGAATCGAGTGGATTCTTTTCTAGGATAAATTGCTTTGACGCAGTTTTATAATAATAGAAGACTGGTAGAGGATGCCCGCGACTTCGTCTGCGTGAAAAATTGTTTTCTTATACAGACTTCCATACCCCCTTTTCACCCATTTAAAGAGTGGTTTCTCGAATAAAAACTATTTCTTTATCAAATTTTAGCTGAATCGGTTCAGCGTTTTGTGCGTGAAGAAGTCACAGAGAGACAGAGAGATGGACCCACTTTCGCATTTAAGTTCTTAGTATAGATTGACACGCAATCGAACCCCAGACGGCTGCCTTAACAACGCCTAGTGCGACCCGCTCACCAATTAACTAAAGTGAGATTTCTTAAGCCTAATCAACTTAGAAGAATAAACCGCTTATTCTTTCAAGCTAACAAATTAGTCTACCTACCAGATGTCAAGAGGATTAGTGTCAACGGAAACCGCGCGTTATAAACACGCTTTCATCATTTGGCAAATCAACGAACGCATGACAGACGAAAGGCAAACAGGATTTTACCGGTCCATATTTCTAGTTTCTATTTTTTCCACCCAAGAATCCAAGATACAAGCAAACGTCAAATCACAAAAGCGTGCGTAACAATCATGCCGCCCCTATAAGGATATTCTTATTGATATTTGAAGATTTGACAGCAGTCTCTTCTTCTTATTCCTGAAAGAGCAGGATAAAGATATACTGTTATCAAATTCATAAATAGCAAGCGGATTCGGCCTGTGACCGTGAAACTTAAGTAACTTTCTTAATATCGAAGGTGTTTGGTTGACCAAAAACTATGATTTCGTGCTCCTCAGTACTTCGGAGTGAAATAATAATTTTACTGCAGTCTTAGTTTCTTACCTGACGGGAGTTTCAAACATTGATTGAATCATCAAATATTGTCACATTTTCTTAAGTTACTTAAAAGTCAATACGACATTAGGATGTCCTAGAAGTGATTTAACATAGGAGCTGGCGAATAAAACGGTATCATCATCATCAGCCTATTAATCTCCCACTGCTGGGGCCTTCCCTATGGATGGAATAGGGAGATTATGCTATGACCCACCACGCAGGCCCAGTGCGGATTGGTGGGTGCTAACGACTGCAGATGCAGCCGGGACCAACGGCTTAACGTGCCTTCCGAAGCACGGAGGAACTCGAGATAGTAAATTTTTGGTCACCCATCCAATGACCGACCACTGCGAAAGTTGCTTAACTTCAACGATCACAGCCGAATGCGCTGACCACTTGCGCCATCGAGCTCCTCATATATTCTCATAGATAATAACATAAAATTAAATTTTACAGGAGCTGCATAAAACCGATTGACACCTGCAGTGAACTTTCGTCGTGGTTTTTAATTTATAAATTTTGTAATTTTAACACTGGTTTTGGCGATTTTGATTGAAAATTATTTGAGATTCAAATTCAACGGGCCTGTAAAAAAAGTAGTTTGAGCAGATGCGTAATTATACCGTTTTGTTCACCAGCTCCTCACATATTTAATATAATAAATACTATTAATTTATTTGACAAAATATAGCAATCATTTGGGCATGATCATCATACACGAAAACACGCAGAATATGGACCTACTACTAATATCATGAAAGTGGTTAGATTTTTAGAAACGCCAACAAAGTCTTGTTCAATAAAAATATTTCACTTAGGACGAAAGTGGCAGATAAAAGCCCGCACCCGTTTAAGAGCGTTCCGCCAAATGAGTAGTGTGCACGGTAGTTGAAAAAACATTTACACACAAAAGTGCCCATTTTCGTTGAAAAAATGGCGGCCTTATCTCCCTCCTCGCCTCGCCCACCATTGCGTTTTTAGCAACGGTAAAATTTTAAATATTCTCACTCAGCTGAACCTGTTCGATAGTTTGAAGTTTTTAATGTCAATCCATTCTTTCGATATACAAAACTGAGCCTTTTCAATTTATTCCAAAAAAATTAAATCAAATTTAAAAAAAAACTCTTTACTTAGAGACGTAGGGCATAGCGGATTTTCCGCTCGAATTGGGGCGCCCGTTTGGAGAAGTAACCTTTACCTTACAGAAGACCACAGAAAAATATACCATAAAAATATAGTTACTGGCTGTGAGTAAGGAGCCAGGGCTCCATGGGGTAGGGGATTGAGTCAGGGAAGGCAACGACGCTTGTGATAGTACTCGTAATTAGGTATCGCAAGCGTCTATATGTTATAGTGGCCGCTTAGTGTGCCACCCTTTTAATACAAAAAAAAACGACGGAATGCACTCCGGGAGTGCCGGCAGAAGTGAAAACTTGAATATTATCGCTGTGCATTTATCATATTTTAGAATGGTTAGGGAATAATTTTGCACAATTTTCTTTAATTATCAGTAAAAGTACTATCATTTATGTGGAAGAATACAATATTTATTTATTGCGCTATCGTACACGAACATGACAATTTATATTACATTAAAAAGTTTATCTCTCAGAATTTTTCATTTAAGCGCACCTAGCGACATCTGTTATAAAAAAATGC